TTTTTTTTTTTTTTTTAAAGTTGTGAAGTCTCTATCTTCCATATTTGTCTCTTAAATATATCACTAGTCTGAAGCTTGTCTGGGCCAAGCAGATATATCAATATATCAGAGCTTATCCTATTTGGAATTTTGCTGCTGTGACTACTCCAGGATAGAGATTTTTCATCCTTATTTTGTTATCCTCAAGGAAGCAATGCAGTAGACAACAACAACAACAATAATAACTCAGTATAATCCCACAAGGAAGCAATGCAGTAGACATTTTAGATAATACAAAATTGAAATCCACTTGCAGATCTCTATGACCAATTTACAAATCTCTAGCTTATATGATTGAGAGTGCATATACATTGACTAAACATTAAAAGCACACCATATATTGTATTCGCTTTCACTTTTCTTGTCCATGCTCTGGAGATAGATGTGCTCTGGTTGTCCCCGCCACTTTTCTGGTTTAGGCTGAAACCAGGTTGCATGTCATATAAAATTTATGAAAATATATTTATGGAGAGAAATTCGTGTGTAAAATATATTTTCTGGCAAAAGAAAATTAAAATTACGATATGAATAACTTTTGACATGTCATGCTTGTCTTGAAAAGCTCACTAAGGAATTAAAAAAAAATTCTCTCCGGTACTAAAAGGAAAATAATGTAAATTCCATTGAATAGATAGAGTCGATGATACGATAAACAGTATTACATATGGAATTAGCTTTGCAGGTTCAGCAATCTCAAATTTACTACTGATTTTGCAATTGCAAATGAATGTTAGGCTAGGCCAATAATTCTACCAAGAGTAGTTTTTTAAGTGCTAATTGAACATAAAGTAATGGCTTTTGTGCAACGATGAAAGGGTTCTAATAATATTGTGTCGGTTGTTACAACCTTTAACAAGTAATTTGAAATTGATCTTAAGAAAACCTATTTTATTAAGTAGTACTCATTTCTCCCTTTTCAGAATGGATCCGATAGAAACATTTATTTTTATCTAAAAATTCTATATTAAAGACTAAGAATAATATTAGTAAATGAAAGAGCGTTTCTTTAAAAATTTAAGTACGAAAGATTAATAATATTATCTAAGTGTCACTCGGAGCAAGTAGTATAAAGTCAAAAGTTAACATAGTTGCAAGAAGAATGAGAAGTCATTTTCGTCTTTGATTAAAAAAAAATTATAATACCAGAAAATATTTTTCTAAAAAATAACTTCTTTTATTTCAAACACCCTAGTTCGTTTAAGCCACAAACTCAGAAGAGTAATAATTGAAACCCAAAGTTAAGTAATTAATAGGCCAAAGTACTTATTGGGTCAGATTTAAGGGAACCGTATTAGAGAAGTTAAATGAGGTGCTTTTAAGGTTGAATTGATTACTGAAATATTGATTTCGAGCTGTTTGATATGCTTTACAGCAGAGGCTGATGGAACTTAGAAGTGATGGGTGTAACTCCATTATTTCTAACGCAAACTATAAATTTATATAGTATATAAAAGATTAATTGAATTTTTTAAATATTAAATTTTGAACTTATGATTTTAAAGCATAGCATAAGAATATTAAGTGGGCGTTTGGACATAAGAATTGTAAAATTCCAAAAAATGTGAAAAAAAAATTATAGTTGTGTTTGGACATGAATATAATTTTAGGTTGTTTTTGAAGTTTTATGAGTAATCTGAGTGAAGATTTTGAAAATTAGCTTTTTGGAGTTTTTCAAAATTTCAAAAATTTTCAAAATGCATCTTTAAGTGAAACTTAAAAATTTTATGACCAAACGCTAATTTCGAAAAAAAGTGAAATTTTTTCGAGAAAAGGGAAAAAATTCTTATGTCCAAACGGACTCTTACAATATAAATCTCATCAAATTTAAATTTTGAATTTGATTTTGCTTTATTGTCATATTATTAAAAATTAATGTGCAATCTGGTAATGAGGTCTATCAAGTTCCAAACTAGAATACTATATTGCAAAGCAATAATGAGATATTCAACGACCACCAAAAGGATGTAGTACAGTGGATGAGACTGCTCCTCCCTTAACCAGAGGTTTCGAGTTCGAGCCCTGGGTATGGAAAAATCCTTGGTAGGGAGCGCTTCCCCCCGAATGGGGCCCTACGCGGCGCGAATCCGGATATAGTCGGACTCCAATAGGAATACCGGGCACCGGGTGGGAAACAAAAAAAAGATATTCTAACGAATATGAAGCAAGCTGCTTTTAACTACGAAAAGAATCTCTAATATCTACTTTCAGTTATCAGTAATGCATTTCTCTTGGATTCACACTTTGACAAGAAAATAATATCCCTTTACAGTACTTACTGTCTTTTTCCTTTTGCACTTTTCATTAATCAAACCGAAAGGGGCATACAACAATCAGCTTTCACTCTCCCTATTCTTATGCTCCTTGATTCAAGTCTTCTAAACCATACTTATTTCAATAAAAAGATGAATTTTTTTAATATATATATATATATATATATATATATATATAATTATAAAAGTATGAATGCAATATTCTTTTATCAAAATAGCCTTAAAACATTGATCAATAAATAATTCAAAATTGGATAAAATCGTAATTTTTGAACTTTACCTAATGTTAATCGAATTTTGAATTGAACGAGAATTATATCCACTTAGAATTTGGGTAAAAAAGTATGGATTGATTTCATTCCTATTCAAATTAAGTATGGTAAGACTTTTACCACGAACACATTACTCTTACATTAACCATATTGGCTGACAAAGTAATAAAAAGAATTTCTACTTCTGTAGACAATTTGGTTAAAAATAACATACAAAGAAGAGAGTTCTATGTACCTAGCTATTAAGTATTGCGGTCTCTGAATCTTGATTTGGTGTCCAACAAACAATTACTACTAAATGCTCAATAAAGCTTTACCTATTTATAGAATGAAAATAATATAATTAACAGTTTGAAAGGTTTTATAAATTTTACTATGTGCAATATAATCCCTTTATGAAGTCAAAAACAAACAAGACATATGGTTAGCAAACCAAGTAAAAAAAAACATGCAAATTTATTCGCTTATGTCCCTTTTAAGATATTTTTAGAAATAAAAATTCATATGCAATCCAACTTTTAGTAGAAATAAAAGACTTTGTTGGAAACAATAATTGCAAACGACAAGAAATCTGCCTCTCTTAGAGTAGTTTCGCACAAAAAGATGCACCGAAGTTAAAGAAAGAAAACAATCCCATCAACAATTTCTTAGAGATAATAATGCATCTCTCTATGATCGAGATAATATCCAAATTAAAAGAGCTTAGGATGAAACATATTGATCAAGTACATTGAAGTTAAAGGAAGAAAATCATCATAGAGGTCAGGTAAATATACAAAGTAGCATCTTTAATATCTTCATATGTAACTTGCATGAAATTATCAATATATTTTCTCCTTACAAGTATTCGCCTATCTTGCGTGAACCGTTAATTAGTCGTGTATTGTTATACGATCCTAATATCTATAGTATTATTTCATACCATAATATGACTTTGGTTTTCTCATCTTTCTTTTGTCATGTCTGGAGTGTTACATGTGAGGCATGTAAATATTCTTTTTATTGTTTTCTTTACTTTAAATTTACATTATTTATTGATATATGTTTTAGGCATGATTGTAAAACTTAGTTGTACTATATATTACTATCTTTATATACAGATGTGCTCATATGTAGCACAGACTGCAGAGATAGAGTCAGAATTTTGAGTTTATGGTTTTTAAATTTTAGAAAAGGTAATTTATTGTGTTCTGAATAAATCATTTATACATATTAAGCGAATCTTTTAACACAATACAAGATTTGAGTCAAAATTAATCACTTAATTCTACCGAACGTGTAAGTCGAAGGCTAGCTCTGACCTGACAAAGGAAACAAATATCGTCGTGCATGTATCTATATACCTAACCATTAGGAGTGGCAAACGGGCGGGTCGGGTTGGATATGGTTCGGGTTGAAAACGGATAATGAAAAAACGGGTAAATTATCCGACCCGACCCATATTTAATACGGATAAAAAACGAGTTAACCGGCGGATAATATGGATAACCATATTATCCATGACTTCTTACATATGATCACTTTTGGGAGAATTCTTAGTCTCCCTAACTTGAGGAACCCCCAATTTGAGGTTTTACAAATGTAAAAGTTAGACCCATTAGTTATCCATTGGTTAATCATTGGTTATTCATTTTCTAAATGGATAATATAGTTCTTATTCATATTTGACCCATTTTTAAATAATTCATTATCCAACCCATTTTTTAATGGATAATATGGGTGGTTAAATGTTTTCTTTGAACCATTTTGCCACCCCTACCGTAACCATACTTGAAACTGATTATCTCTTAGAGTTATTCAGTATGTTTTTTGTTTCTTTCATAATGTTCTTAACT